CCTCCCTCCCTCCCTCCCTCCCTCCCTCCTTCCCTCCCTGTCTCTCTTTTACACATACACACATTAAATCTTGCTCTGCATTTTTAATGACAAATTAGGAGCAAAGAGCTGTATTCATTCACTCTGCTTCCCTTGAATAATAATGTATATGAATTCTAAAATCAGATGATATATCATTCAGTTTGGATATAAAGCTAATACATTTAGGGAATATATTTTTCCTTCTTATATAAGGAAATGTAGATTATAGTTTGCATCACATATAAATAACATGATGTATCTTTGGGATTGAAGAAGCTGGAGAAAAGGCTGCCTTAAAATACTGAGGTATAACTGTATTGAAAAGAAAATTCAATCAATTGAAATATTAGTTACAAACTGATCTTCTGCTCTCTTATGGCAAAGCATGAAGTTAAATAAAACTATACTTGTACAAAAAAAGTTCAGTATAAGAAGCCAGGAGGATCCATCAGAAAAGACATTTCTATAATTTCCACCAAGTGTTTGTGTCTGGTTGTGTGGGTGTACAGCCCAAAACTCTGAGTGTATTCCAATGTGAATATGAAACTCCCATCTAAATAGGTTTTTATTTCAATGGTTAGGGAAATTCCAGGTAAGTGCAGAAATGCATAAATAGAGGTCAGTCATGTACTAAACTGCATCTAGAAGCTTTTCTAATTATAGCAGTTATTGTTCATACATTGGATTTTCTGAATATGCAAGAAACTTTTTCATTAGCTAGCATTTTACAAATTTGTCAATAATAATGAATGATGATGTGACTGTGCCCTCAGTAAGGGCAGCAAAATGAGAGGGACAGAGAAGATAGGGTTTTAAAATATATGTACCTATTTCATTTCTAGGAGGAAGATCCTCATCTTCATGACTGGGATATCTCTCTTTCCGATCAAGGAGTAGAAAATAAATCATTTTCTCTTGATTTTCCCTAGAAAAATGATGAAATAATATCAACATCATTCTTTAGTAAAACTCGGAACTTTCTGTATAAAATTTACTTCATACGTGACATCTTAAATACTAAATGAAGAGCTGATACACATGTTATTTACATAGACTAACCTTTATGAATAACTGTTTTGTTGTTTTTTAAAGAGGAGCTACCTAGCTCATGTGAGCAGATTGTTAAGAGCTAATTGAAATATGTGGAAGAAGCATATTATGCAGTCTTTTCTGGATTCTGCATTTCAGACAGCAATTGATGCACAATCGACATAAAAATGCTCTCCTTCCACATGGCTCTCTAAGGTCATCATCAAAAGCCATGTTCATTGTCCAGTAGCTTAGTGAAGGACAGAGGACAGAGAGGAAAATGGGGCTCTCCCTGCAGCTTCATTCAAATTGTGGAATTCATTGAACTTGGAGGTCCAACAATCTGCTTTGTTCTCAGTATTAGGTGACAGCTCTTGCTGTGGTCAAGTACTGCTGTACTATAATTCCTATTATAGTATATCATTGTAATATAATATACTATATTACTGTACTATGTTAATATATGTAATTCATACATGTTCAGTATGAGATATTGATCCTTTTACACATAAACAAATGCTTCTGTCATTGAAAAAATCTTTTAAAAATTGTGTATGGAAGAGCAGAAATAAAACATATCCCTTTCAATGTGCAGGGAGATTTGTTTTTTAAACTGAAGAGCATTTGAATGCACCATTTCATCATCTACATCTGCAGCTTGAAGTAATATAGCTCAAAAATTGTTTCATGAGATGTTGTATGGTGCTAAGTGTCTAAGCTCCTAATCTGAATCATCCCTCTGCTATAAATTCATTTTGAGTTTCAGTCCTCTATTGGAAAAATGGGGAGTAATAAAGCTCACTACATATACTGGAATGTTCTAAGGTTTATAACTAGATAATGCTAGAGAAATCATTTAGACATTTGAAAATGCTCACAAGTAGAGTCACCAGGAAAGAATAGTGGATTTTTCCAACTAATTTATTTTTAAATTTGGAGGTTATATTATAATTGAAGCAGGAGTTTTGCTGAGTTTGTGTATACGCATGTGCTTATAATCTTCATTTTGAGTGGACTGACTTAAATTCAGAGTAATCTTCCATTTCAGCATTCTTCAAGAAAACTGCCATAAAGATAGAGCAAGGTTCCCCAACCTAGTGCCCATCAGATGTTTCAGATTACAAAATTCATTGTCCTCATCCAGCATGGACATGTTTGGTGAGGATGATCAGAGTTACAGTCCATGATATCAGAAAATAGTACACTGGACAAGGCTGAGCAAGATGGACCTGCAGTTTGACAAAACATACAATTGTCTATCACATCCCAGTTAATGATTCATCCTTATAAAGACAGCAAAAAGAGAAGGGATCCATGCACCTGGTGAATTCCAACACATTGTTATCATTGCCTTCAAATGTGATGGCTACCAATTCAGAAAGCTATAAGAACAGTTTGCTCAAATTCTTGGAGGAGTGGGTTATTAATGGCAAATAATGTAGGCTGTTTGTTCTTCAATCACAGGTAGCCTATCTTAAATACCAGTTTAACAATTCCTACAGAGCAGTAGCTTTTGCTCATTTATCCACGTCCACGTCAGGAAAAAGAATATTGGTTGATAGATGGTTGGCTTCATCTTCTTATGTTCTTATGTATCATTTGCACCTTTAATGATTCTATATGTGGGAGGGTTCTGATGCCACCTGGATAAGAAATGCTGCTTCCTCTCTTTAATATGGAACTATAATTGTTGCTTAAATCCTTTCATTTCCTTTAATAAATGTGTGACTCTTTTTACACTTTAAACTAATGATATATAAAGGCAGAATACTTACTCTTCTGACAGCAGGTCCTGTAAGAGTTTGTTTCTATCACGAAAGCAACCTAATGAGTGCATGCTGTCTAAAACATCAGGATCAATGTCTTCCAAGGAAGGGAGGGAGCGAATCTGCACCTTTCGAGGAATTGGTTGCTCTGGTTCTGGCTCATTCTTACCCCCTCTTTAGATAGACAGATAAAAGAAAAAATGAATTATGGTAGCATATAAAAGCAAAATGTTTTCCCAAAGAGGGATTTTAAGCAATTTGTCTCTAACTTCAGCAGAGGTTTAGATTCAAATTCTGATTAAGGAGATGGTCATTAATGCCCTTGAGATCTAGGATTTTAAAGAGTGACTTCTATCTATAATATATCAGAATGGCAGCAAGGGACTTACGATTATGAAATTAAACACCCCAGTTGTTGCAATTAAAAGAAAAGCGGAATGAAATGGGGGACAAGAGGGTTTCCCCCCCCCCCTTCCTTTGAAAGAAGCAAGGTCTTTTTTTCCTTCCAGAGGGATTTTAAAAATTCCAATTGGAATTCAGAAGAGGTTACTTTGCCCTACTTTCCATTACCATCATCTTTTGGTAACTCTGCATGGTCATCTGGCGATCACTATAAATAGAACAGAAGGAAGAAGAGCCTTCAGGCTGCTAGCAAGAGCACAAGGACTATTTCAAAGCTGGAAGTTTTTAAATTTCCAAACAGCCCCTGTGATTATTAGCTAGAAGTGCAAAAGCTCCCATCAATCTTCTTTTCCTTTTTTTACGATGATCACCTATGCAATGTTTTTTGGCTGTCTTATCACTGCACGGTCAGGTGATCACGAACAAGAGAGAGAAAATGACAACAGCAAGGCTTGATTGTAGCTAGCAAGTACACATGGAGGGTTTTTTTGAAATTAAAAATTCTGCATAAGGGTATGGTGATCTCCTTTGAATTCCTAAGGAAATTCTGATCTATAGATCTTTAATGCACATTTCTGTTTACTGATTAGTTGTTACTACTTCCAAAGCCTCTATTCAAAATACTGTATAGTCTCTTAATAATAAATTTGATGCCGCTAACTTATTTCATAGAAGTTTAAACAAAATGTACTGAACCAGTATTTTAATGTGAACCATATATCAAATACTTATATTCTGTTCTTTACAATTAAGAACCTTTCCAAGACAACAAAGCTATTTTAGTTATTTGCTGTTGGTTGCCATATCTGATGTTAACGAAACCCCACATAAAGATTGATTTAACTTGTTTGCAGAAAGTAATTTCTACTATAGGATGGAATAATGGTGTATTATTGTTTGACCCATACAGGCTTTTCAGGAAAATTAAAAGGGAGTGGAGATAATCAGACAGGGCAATGCTTTTGAACAGATTTTATTCCCTGAATGATGTCACTACTATTAAAAATAACATACATAATGAGATACAGATACTCATTATTAAATGTTAATGTATTAAACACGTTCTTCATTTTGAAAAAAAAAGAGTAAGCTCTAGCTCCTCCATATTCATGGTTCCCGGTATAATTTCTTGAAATTACTGTCTTTAAGATAATTTTCAAAATATTAATAAAAAGTTACTTACATATACCATATGTGCTTCTGAATGTGTTCTAGCTACAAGTCAACAGAAAAAAAATGGAATGACTATAATATAAAATAACAACAAATGCTAATTAACGCTTTTTGTTAAAATACAAAACAATCCCTGCACAAGATTACCAGTACATCTACATTCATATGATAGGAAAGTAGCAGTGCCATTCAAAACTTCCTGGATATATTATTTATTAATTCCTGAGATTTACCATTGGCTTAGGCAAATTGGTGTAGGGTAAAATTAAGGAACATGATATCTCTGAATATATGCTCAGCAAATAAATTAGAACCTCCACATGTCCTTTCAAAGAAAGTTTTCTCCTCCTAGAAATTGACATTGGAGAGAAGAGGGAGTTTGGGAGAGACATTGCTATTATTATGCAGTTGGGAATTGTAAACTTTTAAAAATCTATTGCAAATTATTCAGACTCAGTGGATAGTGATCTATCTTCTGCCCCTCCCCCTCATAAAAATTCCCACTGGACCTGAGAATAACAGTGGTTCAGTCAAAAATTGTGGAAATGACTTTCCAAAATAAATGGCTTTGTGAAACAACATTTCCTCCAAATGTGTTGCTTTGAATAATTTTTCTGGCTTTTCAGCACATTTGGAAGCAAGCTTAATAGGTTTACTTCTCAGTTGATAAGCACAGAATTGTACTGGTAACCTCTAATTCCAAGAAAGACCATAGCCGCTCCAAAACAGTGCCTTAAAATCCCATCTCAGCCAGCTGGCTCAAGATACTATAGTTACTACTGAAAATCACAGAAAGGCCTGAAAAAAAATCAAAGCAATAAAACCCAGCTGTTTACTCAGTGTTGATCACTCACCAAACTGACCAAAATAATCTGTCTCCCACAACAGGACCTGAGGTTAGATTGAAACATATCTAGATAATCTGCATCATCTGGAGAACATGGGGCTGAGATGCCTCCAAATTCTCCAGGACCTCCCTCAAGTTCAGAATATTGGAGTTCCCATGACTACTACTTTACAGCATGAAGAAATTGTATCTCTTTTGGAAGGTAGTTTAACCCCTATCTTTACTCAAGCAATCTTATTTTTTACTGCTTTTATTGGCCAGGTGGGACAGCAAAGTTCAAGCATGCTTGAGATCTCTCCAAAGTTGTCCACATCCTGCAGTTACACAGACATACTCTCCACTATTCTCAAGTATATTCGTACATAGCATTTGTTCTGATTCATCAAACAAAATCAACATCGTTCTGATTTTAATAAAGGAAACGGACTCTCTGCTGAATAATGATTCCAAGTGAATGGATCCCATAAGACAGTGTGAGTTTATAAGACAGTATGAGTCAGTATGCGTTGTGCAGATGGCTTGGTAGTAGGTATGACCTAGGGGTAGACAGACAATTGGAACAATGTTTAAATCCTATTAGCTGAGTGTATGAGATCAGAGACCTACTAAATTGGCCAGCAAGAACTATGGCAGCTGTTTTGCTCTCATTATTTTCCACCTCATTTCCAGCTAATGAGAACTGGCAAGTCAAAATAATCTGCATGAAAATGTGAGGGAATAAAACAAAAAAAACCCTGAAGCTGCTTTGAGACTGTGACAGGGAGACCCAGAAAGGTACAAGAGAATCAATGGTTTATTTATATTATATAATAATGACTTTGGAAAATCCTGAACTGTTCTTTCTTTTTTTAATGAGACTGCTTGTTCAATGTAGCAAAAAAAATTCCTAAATGAAAAGCAATAGAAATAGTACAGGTTAAATGTAGGTAAGAAAGTCTAAAAGTCTCCTTTAAAAATAATGAGAACTTTTAGGCTTTCTGTGATTATTTAGCATACTTTAGGCTCGTTGGCTCGAACTTACTGCATACCTGGTTTACACCCTTAAGGTGCTCTATGCTGTGTTGATGCCAGCTGAACTTTAAGCCATCTTAAGAAAATTCTGTCCAGGTTGGGATGCTTCAGCAGCAAGTTGCCAGGTGTTCAGTCCAGACTGCTGGCTGCTACAGACCTCACCGTGCAATTTTCTGCTGTTGTACCTTCCCAACTTTTCATGCTAGGAAAGCAATTGCCAATTGCTTTTCTTTCTGTGGCTGGGTCTTATTGGACATAAATACTTTTGGGGGTATATGCATCTATACATACACATTATATAGACACAGATAAAAATAAATTAATTTAGATATATAAAGTTAAAGCATCAAAATACACATATATGCAAGCACAACAATCAGCTTCAAAATAAAATTGCTTCTCTTGTACTTTCCCAGCTTTAGCTCAGGAAGGTTTGCTGCAGTTTATGTTTTAGTTCTTTCCTAGTAGCACAGTAGTTATAACATTAACCTGCAATGCAGAACTTCACTGGTTTTAAACCTGGCAGGATGCACTTTTTCAATTACTATTTTTCTTTCCCTGAGCTACTCACTTTACTGTTCTTTTTAAAATGTCAACCGCTCTACTGTTTCATCATTTTATCAGATACTTGAGATAGAAAGGTTTCTTTAAAGCTCCCAAATAGCCCAAATGACTGTTTATGTCAAGTGGTTGGAAAAATGATGAAATGGTATATCGGTGAATAACAACAACAACAACAACATTTTTGAAAGCCAAATGACAAAGTAGGTAGTTCAGAGAAAGAAAAAGTATATATTCAGAACATATGCATACATACATACACACTCAAACATACATAATACATATACATATACTCCTGCAGTTCTGAATTGGGGATGTTCTGCACAGCAAGCATTATAATCACTATGATCCTGTACAATACCCATAACAGAAGCTGCAGCAGACCTTACTGAGGGAAAGATGGAAAATTCTGGTGGAGGAGCATTGGATAGTAGCCAGTCAAAGACTATGGGTTTGCTTAGAAGAAAGAAAGCACAGCAGACAAAATAGGTAGCAATGCTTGAGCCAGCACAAGCTGGAAATGCTGCTTTCAGCTTGGAGCAGGAAAATATAGACCGAGGTTGTATTCATGGTAGGATGGGGGCAAGTAGATGACTACACTGTCCATTCCTGTTCTCCAGAAACAGTTGGTACCCTGCACTTGCAATGGAGCAACTTGGCAGTTTGGATATGCCCTAATTAGGGAAAGTTATAAAAGGGCAGATCACTTTTATCTGAGTTTGTAAAGCTTGACTGATTGAAACATCTTATTCCCTGGTCAATTATCTCTACTCTGGGTGGCAGCTGCACACAAGGGGGGATGTCTTGGGAAGTCTTGGGTCATATTTTTAGTGTTCCCTGCAACTCCAGAGTGGGACATGAAAACTGAAATGTCTATAAAATGCCTAGAAGAGTCCTATTTTGGTGAGGCATCTCTAGCATTACGTCTTGATCACAAATACTAGAAGGGACAGTTAACACTTAGGCAAATTCTTTGGATGATATAGAGGGATATTTAATTTGTTTAAATTTAATTAGTCAATTGATTTAGTTTAACCCCCAAACAAATGTGAGTCTGTAGGAATAAAATCTTCCCCTCTCAAGGTTAATTGGCTAGCTCAAACAACTCAGTTTTGGTGTTTGTATGACGTTCCCGTTTCCTTGGAATCTTGGAAAACCAAGGTCTGTCACAGGGATGAGAAAACAGCCTGCAGACCTTCAAGAATTACAGTTGCCCATCCTGGCTGGGACTGCTGTAAACAGTACAGTGATTCAGTAATATCTGGAGAGTCAAAGGAGCCATACCCCTAATCTAACATATTCTCAATTCATAGATTCTGAAAAAAAGCTCTTTTCTGATTGATTATATTGCAATTGTCTCCTGTTTTTTCTCCACTGAGTTCAAAGCAGTGTATATAGAATTCACAGATTGTTCTCAGCCAAGAGTTGATTGATCCGGTTTTACTAATATGAAGAATTTCTAGTTAATGTTTTTGGGTGGGGGGTTTAAATCATAAGTTGAGTCACTAAATAAACTTATTTTGGTATTCTTGGCACATAATTCCCATCTTGTGCCACATATAGATTGTTCCACCTGTTGCTACATGTGTGTGCATATCAGTCATTAATTAGTTCAGACAAAAATGCAGTCAACAGAGATAAAGCAGGACCAGGCCCAAGATTCTTTTTACTCCTTCTTATTTCCAGATTGTTCCTGGATCACATCCGAAGATGTATCTGTATGGTTGAAGTTACAGTTTTCAAGTCACAAAGACTTACAGTAAGTTTCCAAGTCCAGAAGCAATAGCAAAATCATGACTTAAGCCAAAACTAAAATATTTTATTTATTTAGAAAATGCATATGTTACCCATTTCCTATAGCTGGGTAATCTTATTACTATATAAAATCATACAATTATGAAACCCATAAAAGACATACTGTAATACTCTAAAAGGCCTACCAGAAAAGGTAGATTTTGAGCCCTCTCTATAACTGCCTAAATTCTGTGAGGATTGATGCGATAGATACATTGCATAAATAAATAAATAAAAAGGAGGGAAACTGCATTTTTTCCAGTGTCAGTTTGTTCTACCTTTTAGGCCCTGCCATAGAAAAAGAGAATAAATGTTTTGTCGGATCTGCAAAAGATCCACTGTTAATGACCTAAGGGAGTTTCCCCTCTTTTGAAAACTTGTATGGACATCAATGAGAGTTCCTCCTATTTCAATACTTTTACCATTTGAACTAAATACTCTTATGAAAGAAAAAAAAATCTTTAAAATGCCCTTAAAATATGTTCTTGGCTTCTTTATCTCATTCTGAAACCACTTTCTGATTTCCAGATTAGGATTTGAGATACATTACAAAAATCAACCTCTATTTGGATTCCCATTACATCTGAAATACAACTTTATTCTGACATCACACATTCCAAATTGTTGCTGCCAAGATACTCACAGCTTCTTCTTCTTCTTGTTTTAAAAGATTCAGTGATCAATGTTTTGTTGCTTTTCACTTACTTTAAAGTGACAAGTAAGGGTCAAAGAAGGGCAACAGATTTTGACAAGGAAGGCTTTGATTTCAAGGTTTTGTTGTGCAAGTCAAGGGAGGGTGAATCACAATGAATGCTTGCCGTTTTACTGGGAAGCATTAAAAGTCCCATTTCTGTGTATCATATGGCCCAATTTAGAGTGTTTGCCATGTATGTGAAGAATATGGAGTTTTCACATAGGAACTGTGAAAATATCAGTATTCATTCCAAAAGAAGGGAGTAAGACCACGCTTTGAAGACTCGCATTGTTTGTGTTGAGTGGCCTTATAAATCTAGTAAGTAAGTAAATAAATGAATAACTGCAATGTAGTATGAGGGCCTTCTAAGCAGTTAACATTCAGCCTTTGGAATATTCTTTTTCACGGATGCTAAATACCATTTTATTCTGGCAGGATCTTTTGTATGTGATAATGTGTTTATGCTTTTATTTGAACAGCTGTCCCTATCTCCTTGAATGGCTGTTTCATATTGTGGTTTTGTAAACTGTACCTTTTAAATGTTTCTATCATGTACCAGAAAGAAAAGACCTAAATATTTAAACAGTAAATGAGTAAAAATTAAAACTTGCAAAACTGACACCAGCAAGCCATAAAACTAAAAATAACACATATATGTTTCTAAATAAAAATGTTGGATGCAAACCTTGGCCATTAAAATGATTACTTCATTATGATGTGGATTTAAGTTTTAGTATTAATGGGTTTTGACCAACTGGATCCTATTTTAAGAAGAAATAACTACTTGTGAGACCCAATTGGTCAAAATCTATTAATGTAATCGACATCACATGCAGTAGGTTTTAACACTGAATATGAACACTCAGTTCAATATATCAGAGCTGACATGAAAATAAAAACAAAAGCACATTTTTATTTTGTACATAGCTTGTAACTGGGCATTGTCAGAACTTCACCTTGGACATGCCAATAAATCTTTCTCCTGAAATGCAATGATGTACTCATGAGCTTAATTATGGAAGATTCAAGGACAAGGCTTGGATATATAACTTGCTTTTATTGCATATGCAAAAGGTACTCTTATAAGAAAGAAAATCAGCTAGTACAGAATCTAGGGATCTAGTCATAGTTGTATGTTAGTTCCAGGTACAAAGTCTGCTTCTCTTTCTCCAACTTTTGCTACCATTTCACAGCCTTGGATTTTGAGAGCACCTCCATGGTGTTTTGATAACAGTCTTACATGGGATCAGACTCTTTATTTCAAGGCTCCCTTTATAGAGGGACCAATGCAAATATTCATTTTTAGTTAAATAGTGATCTGTTCTGGAAATCTTTGTAATGTCCCCGAATCAAATTAAAAAGACAGTGCAATGACCATCTGCATTACATTATATAAATTAATGACTATGAGTTCAAGCAAATTAGTACAAAGGGCAGTTTTCATACTGCTATTTGAATCCAAGCACTTATACATAGTACCTCTATTCTGGTGGAAATTATGAAGAAGAAATTAAAAGACAAATTGTAATTCAGAGATTTCAAGTAGAAGATGAACAGTCTAGCATCAATTGCATGCAACCTGTTGTGATAATGACAGCAACTAAAAGATAAGCAAATATATGCAGTGTGGTAAGAATCTGAATTTTGCCTATGCCAGATGTGCATATAGGACAGGGAAAGGACTCAGATCTTTAAGTTACTGTTCCATTTAAGGCCAATAACTGACCCAAGTTGCTATTTATAAACATTTCATCTCAGTGAAGAGCTGGAAAAAGTTTAAATTCACACTGTTTTCTTTCATACTCCCATACGGACAGATTTTGTGAACTGAACAAGTATTCGCAAAATAATGTTCTTGATTAAACATATATATTTAAAACCTACTAATTAAATCAAAAATCACACTTTTCAAAGTTTACCCATAATATTAGTATAATATGAACAAAAAATGTTGCAAATCTACCCTGGCATAAGTTCACAGAGGAGGAAGAGATGATGGTAACAAAATTTTCTTGGATTAAAAATTGCCTTCTATAGAATAAGAAAATTATTCTGGAGATACACAATCAAAGTGATTGAATGTATGGAATCTAATTTAATTTTAAAAATGGAGGGCTTGTAAAAGCCTGCTTGGGCTCTTTTCTAGCTTAACTTCCTGCAGATGTTTCATTACCAAGCTAGGTAACAACAGTGCATGATGAAGTTACCTAACCTGGAAAGAAATGTCTGCAGGAAGAGAAGCAAGCTCAGAGAACATCAAGAACACCAGAATTCAGCCCTGAGGTACAGATATTCTCCGCTATGGTACTTTGATTATGAAATGAGTCCAACCATTCTCCATTTGAGATCAGTAGTGCTAGCTCGGAAGCAGGCCTAAGAAGCATTCGAGGAAACACACCTTCTGATAAGAAAGACTTATTGTAGAAAAGTCATTTAAAAATAATTAAAAGCAAACCAAATCAAGCCTTTATGAAAGAAATGCAGCAAATTCTATGTATGAAATGCAAACCCTACTTACAGTGAAATCAAGTTTCAATTTTTTTTGTTCCCACATGGGCTTGAACTATTTTCTTTTAAGTGAGAGTGACTATTTCCATGCGTTCTTTGTCTGAGGAATGGAGTAGTCTGCCTCAAGGTCTTGGGTTCTAACCTTGTGATATGTCTCCCACACTAAAACCTTTTTCTACTTCCTTAATAAGATTGGAAGAAATAGAAAAGCTCCACCAATGGCATCTTGGAAAGACTAACAGTCTTTTCTCTGCAATGCCCTAGCTACATTTTTGGGGATCCCACACTTGTTCCAAGATAGGTCCAAGTCCTTAATAGTGATGTCTAATTGCCTAAAAATAGATGTCTCAACATTCTCTGTGTTGGGACACAATACTGCAAATATAAGGATGCACACAGAAAAATTCCCCGGTACACAAAGTTCATTTTCGTGTATCAGTAACTGGATACTGCCCTTATGCTCTTCCATAACTTAGGGTGGGAGACACTGAGATTTTGCAGGCAGCATTCTCAAACTTCTTGTCACAATTGCCATTGCAGGTAAATGCAAAAAAATGGGATTTTCAGAGGCTGAAGGAGTCCCCTCTTTTTTTTTTTTTAATGGTATACATAGGCTATTGCATGAAATCAGAAAATACTTCAGTCTACTGTTTTAGTGTTTATAAGATGCCATATCTAATGATTATCAGTTGGTCAACTGAGTAGATGAAAGATAAAACAGTGAATAGGATGATGATGCTTTGTGCTTACAGAATAATTATCTATAACAAGGTAATTGAAAAAAAAGGCTGATTACACAAAAGTACTTTGCTTAAATTCTTACTAATCACTGAAGATTGATAAGAAAAAAAGATGCAGGGTATGAATCAACTCTACTCCCCACTGAAAATTTTATGAGATACCTTCTGGCTCCTAGAATTTAATCTGGGATTACATGCACATTCCAAGTTCTGTTTCCATGTTTGTAAGGACTAAAAACTTGTATTTTTTGAAAATCTACATTTAAAAAACCTAAAATGAAAACATATTTATCTGAGGTTACTGACTTAGAAATTCTGACTTCGCGTTAACATTTATGTTAGTGCAGAACACTGGCATTAAATAAAACATATATGAGTCTGTGTCTTTCTAGATGTTCTGATCTACAATTCCCATCTTCCCTGATCACTGGAGGCCTTGAAAATTATAATCCAAAATAACTGCAAAGACCCAGTTTCAGAAGGCTTGTTGAGTTATTGGATGGCTTTGAAAGTAAAAAGCATGAGATAGTAATGACTTGTTTCCTTACTGTCAACCGTTTCGAGGCATCCACTTCAATCATCCCTCGTAAGAGATTCTGACAATCTGGGGGGATGAAATGTGGCATATGGAACACACCACGTTTCACTTTCTCCAGCAGCTGCCTCAAGTTATCATCATCGAATGGCAAAGCACCCTGGAGCAACGTGAGAAAAGAGTGAAAATATTATGGCTGAGCAAAATCAATTACAGAACGAGAAAAGAAAAAGTAGAGTGGCAGAAGACTGTTTCACAAACCAAGATTGGAACTGGGAACAATTTGACAGTGAAAAACAACACAGCAGAATGGTTTTCATGAAAATTATCCATAGATTTTTTAAAAATCAACTTCAGTTCAATGGAGTGGTTAACTATAGTCCCAAGCCTTAATCCTCCTAGGCAAACTTTTAGCAATGGATATTTATTGTGGCAAGTTATTGTGTAAATTTACATTAAACAAAGGGAGGAAAATTACTTTGGCTATACCCAAGTAAAGTAATTTTAAAAATTGGTTACATTACAGGAGGTTGCCTATAAGTCATACTAACATGAAGGATAAGAATGTCCACAGTTGACAATTGGAGCTCTCTGAAGTTTCATAGAAGTGAAAATATTGATTTGATTGGACTGTATTAAAATTAATGCAAGTTACACATGAGTAAAATGAATGAATTCGTAAACTGAACGGATTCTAGAAAGAAACAAAATCAGCCAAAGAAATAAAAATAAATATATTAGTTTACGTTACCTTTCCCGCTATAGTACTTTAAATATTATTTATTCACTTTCTGTTACTTCCAGTTGGGGTGGGGGAACCAGTGAGACATATTGGTATGGTTTGAATGATAAAACATGAGACTGAGATCGTAGCCTCTTGGAGTCAGTGTAGGGCAGAACGATGGTTCTCCAGGAAGAGAATGACCATCCTGTGGGATCAGTGCAATCATTCTGCTGCAGCAGTATATGCAAGCCCTTACATAGCAAACAGCTCATATAGTAGAGAAAGTTGCAAATGTAAATGGTTGCAAAGGTTTCTATGGATTTAGGAAAAACACACATACACACACACACACACACACACAGAAGAATTTGACTGGAGCATTGCCCTATTAATTTCTATTCATCTGTACATCCCCGTAATTCCCAACAAAGCCAAAATTAAAAATAAAACCCACTGATTGGAATATGGATTTCCTCAGAAATCTATTTAATATCCAATAAAGTGTTTAGTCAGTTCTTATTTCTGGTTCAATAATCTGGGAGGAAAAAAAATGTTGATGTTATATTTCATTGGATTAGATTATGAGTGTTTGCATTGTTATGTTTATTTGCTTTTGCTTTTGGATAACTGTTAACAGTCCTTATTTTACATCTAATCAGATCTGTCTGATTAAAATTATATGATACCCATCTTCCAGAAAAATAGAAACTGATACAATTTTGCAGTCATATTTTTGGCTTCAAAATCTAATTCAAAATTCTGTATTGATATAACACACTCACTAGACCAATGCTCCATATTCTTAATATTTGTTGAAAATGTTTCTTCATGTTATTAGATAACATCACATTAGAGTGTAAGAAGGCAATCCAAGCTATGTTTCTCTCATACAACTGAAAGTCTGAAAAATTGGAAACTAGTAACTTCTTCAGCTTTTTTTCTTTTTTTCTTTCTCCTCCAAGATCACGATTGGGCAGTCTTAGGTTCTTCTTCCCCCATTTAGTAATCTATAATAGTTTCCATTTAGTAATCCATAATTGTTATTTTTAAAACTTAATCTATTTTTAGTTGTTTAGCTTTTCTTGTGAATATTATTCAAGACACTTGAATGTTGTAGATATGAAGTGGTTGTTTTCCTTACTATAATTTCTGCAATTTTACCTTTGATAACAGAGGAAAAAAACCAATACTGATCTAGTTCTGTAGAGCAGAATTCACAGAATTTATATAGCCACCTATCTTAGACCAGTGACTCTGGACGGCTAACAACAATAAAAACAGTCAATATTTAAAACAGTACAAAAAATTAAATATAAATATAAATGCAGCCAAGAGATCTTAAAAAACCATCGGTATGAAATGGGGCCCTTCACACACTCGGGGGCCCCAGGCCCGGGCATAAAGCCAGGTCTTCAAGGCCTTCCGAAAAGCCAAAAGGGTTGTGCCCATCCTAATCTCAGGAGGGAGGATGTTCTAGAGGGCAGGTGCCACAGCAGAAAAGGCACATCTCCTGGTCCCTGTCAGCCAACATTCCTTGGCTGATGGGACCCGGAGCATGCCCAACTTGCAGGATCGAATTGGACGGGTAGAAACAACTGGGAAAAGGTGGTCCCTAAGGTAACTCGGTCCCAAGCCATGGAGGGCTTTAAAGGTGACAACCAGCACCTTGAATTGCACTCAGAAATACACCGGCAATCAGTGCAGCTCCCGAAGCAGTGGTGTTACATGTGCTGAGTAGCTGACACTATTTACAACCCTGGCAGCTGCATTCTGTACCAGCTGTAGCTTCCAAATGCTCTTCATGGGGAGCCCCATGTAGAGCGTGTTGCAATAGTCTAAATGGGAGGTCACGAGGGCATGAATGATAGTGAGTAGAGCCTCCTGGTCCAGGAATGGGCACAAGCGACATAGAACCCAAAGGTGTGCAAAGGCCCTCTTAGCCATGGCTGCCACCTGCTCTTCCAGCAGGAGCTGTGAGTCCAAGAGGACCCCCAGATTGCACACCAGGTCTGTATGGGGCAGAGCCACCCCATCCAGAACCAAAGATGGAGAACCTTGGTAGTGGGAGGCCCAAACATCCAAAGCCACTCAGTCTTGCATGGGTTGAGCCGAAGCCCCATCCAGGCCCCTACAGCCTCCAGGACATCCACAGCATCACTCAGACAGCCCGGGGAAGAGATATAAAGTTGGGTATCATCAGCATACTGATGATACCTCACCCTGAACTGTTGGATCACCTCACCCAGCAGCCTCATGTAGATGTTAAATAAGAGGGGAGAGAGAACCAAGCCCTGTGGCACCCCACACAGTAGGGGCCATGGACTGGATCTCTCCCCTCCTACCAACACCGACTGGAACTGACCCTGGAGGAAGGAGGAGAACCAGCACAACACAGTGCTGCCTACCCCCAACTCCCGAAGCTGGTCCAGAAGGATACCATGATCGATGGTATTGAAGGCTGCCAAGAGGTCAAGAAGAGTAAGGATGGAAGCACTGCCCCCATCCCACTCCTGCCAGAGGTCATCCAAGAGTATGATCAATGCTGTCTCAGTCCCATATCCTGGCCTGAATCCTGACTGAAAGGGGTCCAGATAATCCACTTCATCCAGAGCCCTTTGAAGCTGCTGTGCTTTCTTAACAACCTGGCCTGAATCCTGACTGAAAGGGGTCCAGATAATCCACTTCATCCAGAGCCCTTTGAAGCTGCTGTGCTTTCTTAACAACCTTCCCTAAAATGTGGAAGTTGGACACTGGACAAAAACTATCTGGATTAGTTGGGTCGAGCAATGGTCCCTTGAGGAAGGGGTGTACCACTGCCTTCTTAAGAGCCGGCAGGACCACCCCCTCCCTCAAAGAGGAATTAACCACCGTCCAGACCCAATTACGTGTCCTCTCCCAGGCAGCCTTGACCAGCCAGGAGGGGCACGGATCTAACAGAGAAGTGGCCAAACTAACAGCTACAAGAACCCTCTCCACTTCCTCAGGTTCAATGGGCTCAAACTCCTCCCAGATAACCATGCAAGACTCAGACCCCGTAGCCCCCACTGGCCTTGCATCAAGGCTGAAATTCAACACAGAGCGGATGTGAGCGACTTTACCTGCCAGATGCTCAGCATATTTCTCATAACGGCCCTGAAGGTAGACCCCCGAATTACTCCCTCTGAGGAGGGTTTGGGTCACCAGGAACAGGGCCACTGGGTGGCTATCTGCAGATGCAATAAGGGCGGAGAAATCATTACATTTCGCCATCCTTACCACCACGAGGTAGGCTCTAATCGCAACTCTAGCTGGCGTTCGATCATCTTCACTCCCTGTCTTCCGCCAGCGGTGCTCTAGGCGTCTCTTAGCCCTCTTAAGCTTCCTCAGCTCTTCTGTATACCATGGAGAGCTACGGGAGCCATGGGCATGGAGAGGCCACTCAGGCACAATCTGATCCAAAGCCGTGGCTGCTCTCTCATTCAATGCAGCCATCAAGGCTTTGGTTGGACTGTGCAGCAGACTTCCCGGAACAACCTCAAGCTCCCTCTGAAACCCAACTGGGTCCATCAGTCACCTGCAGATTTGATGGCAAAACAATGTCTATTAACAGCTGAAACAATGTCTTGTTTCATAAAGTCTCATAATGGAGACTTTAATTAGACGGTATTCCTCCTTAAATTGACTTGCAAAAAACGTTGATGGGGGAAGGGTTATTCCTGTTAACATCAGAAAGCCTTTCAGGTCATCAGCCACTAATTCCATGGGGTTTCGGAAGAAGCTGATTTTGAGTGGGGTCCTGTTTTGGCTCAGTCTCAAAACTCTGGGAACACACATGTTCTGATATCATCAGAAATAATGCTGTATGTTTAACATAACAGCATGAACAAAAGTCAGTGGTTTCAAGAAGTGGAATGGGTCAGTTGTTATGCAGCTGTCTCTGCATCTGTACAGGGTAGAATGGCTTGCAAGAGAGAGGGAGAATTTTGTTAAAGTTTAACCAACCATCTCCCTAATGCTTTTTAAAATAAGCATTTTCCAACTTTACCAAAGCTTTTTTTTAAAAAAATGTTACTGAGATTAGGTCACTGATAGCTAAATTGAATTACAGGCCCAAAGCCGAAGCCTTGTCCTGTAATGAGGTAACCAATTCTTCTCTCAGCTCTGTATATGATGACAAAATAAAGAGGGTCCTTGTGAGCCCTTACTAGAATCTCTAATTAACACTGCACACAAAGAAAACTAATTAAAAGGCTCATTTAAATGATTGCCAAATGACGAATACATTGAAATTTTCAGAGAATTGGAAGAGCTAAAACTACCCCTATTATCTGTTAATTCAAACACAACTTCATTAAAGCACTTGATTCATTTCAGCTCTCAGTCTGGAGACCCAGAAGCAAGGTACGTCTCCTTTGAATGAACTGAGTAAGATAAAACTGGGTGCTGTAGATAACTTCCAGCCTCAACTTCACTTTTCTTTACCCAAGTCAATAGAAGAACTTACAGCTGGGTCAGGGGTCAGAGGAGTACACATTTACTGATACTACTCATCTATCAAGATGGGTGTCAGCCCTATGAGGTAGACTCAGATCAGGAAACCGACTCTGCAAGAAGACTAGAACTATACTTTATTGAGAGAGGCTACAGTAACCAAATCTTGCAAGTCTGATTGTGCTTTTCCTCCCCATCCTCTTATTACCCCAATGAATCAGGGAGAAGCCAGACTGAGCCTCTTCTTAGTATATCTCCTGCTGCCCTTTTGGCTTGTGTAGCAGATTCTGAATATTTGCTTTCTGGCTCTCTACAATGAGGCAGGCATAGGTTCTGCCCTTAAGACTCCCCATCTGCAGTTGAGGACCACACTTGAAGTGTCTTTGAAAGCCTCACAACCTTGTGTGCTTACTGATCATGTCTTGTGCCCCAGTCCCAAAGACACCTTGACAACATAAGGTTCCTCTGGCCAAGCCATGCAATGGATGGGGGCAGTGGATTCTAATTCTCTGGCAGCCTACCTCACTGATGAAACAGAAGCAGAAACAAAAGGCCCTCTGAAACAATTCACTTTTTAACAGTTTACTGAAAACTGTCAAGGAGGGGGGCAGCCTGATCTCTGTCAGGTGGCTGTTCCAAAATACCAGCACTGCCACAGAAAAGCAATAGCTTCTAGCTTCAGCCCCCTGGGCCTCTCAGACGTGTATGATTCGAAGGAGTTTCTCCTTAGCTGTTCTGGTTGGGATGATACTGGCTGGAGCAGATGATCCTGTAGGTATCCAGGTGCCAAGGCATCAAGGACTTTATAGGTCAAAAATGGCACCTTCAAGTCTACCCAGAATCTAATCAGTAACCAGTGTAGGACTTACAGAATTGACATGGTATGCTCCCAGTGATGAGTGCCAGCAAGCACATTAGTTACTACGTTTTAGACCAGTTGTAGTTTCTGAATACTCTTTAAGAGCAGCCCCATGTAAAGCACATTGCAGTAGTTCAGCCAGGTAGTAATGAGAGCATGAAGTACTGTAGCCAGGTCCTCTTACCCCAGGTACAGCCACAACTGGTTCATCAGCTGCAGCTGGACATAGGCCTCTCTGATCACGGCTCTTACCTGCTGATCATGCAGGAGTCATGAGTCCAGAAGGACCCCCAAGTCATGGACCTGCTCCTTCATAAGTATTGCTTGCTGTCAAGAAGCAACCCTAGCAGTAACAGAGAGCCCCAAAGGACAAACAACACCTTCGTCTTATTGGGGTTTAGCTTCGGCCTGTCTCTCCTATCCAAACCCTGACAGCTTCCAGGTACTGGGAAAGGACTTCAATAGCATCTCCCATACAGCCCAGGCTAGCAATGTACAGTTGATGATACTGTGCCCCAAACTGTTAGATGACCTCACCCAGTGGCTTCTTATACATGTTAAAAAGGAGGGGGAGAGAATTGACCACTATGGCACTCCATATATCAGGGGTCACCAAGTCAATCTTTCTTCCCCCCATCACAGAGCAAAGCTGCCCACTGAGGAAGGAATGGAACCATTGCAAGACAGTGCTTTCAATTCCCAACCCCATGGGTGGTCCAGTAAGATACCATGGTTGATGGTATCAAAAGCAAATTTTGTTGCCTTCTTCTTTCAAAGGACTTCTGTTGAGCCTCATGACCTGATTACCCAAAGTGTGGTCAAATAGTTCTGCATTTTCTTTGTAATGGTTCAAAGGTCCTAATCTCACTGAATTATTGCCCTGATGCCATAACAAACTGCTCCCCCCACCCCAGGGTGCCCTCCTGAAGTTAGTAAGTTTATCTCACAATTCAAAAATGACTAAGCAGCTGGAGATGATATGACCTTAGAAGAAATGCTGAATGCAAACATCGGCTGGTGGATCCCAGTCCTGGCATCCTTGTCTACATATTAAAATAATCCCAATGTTTAAAAAAAATGTTAACAAATGTAAAAGAAAAAGAAAAAAAAAATAGGAAGGGCCCAGCTAACTTTCTCCCCATTGGCCTGTTGAATGTTACACGCAAACTGTGCACAAGGTACCTCCTTCAAAAAGCCACAGATTAGATAGTACAGAACAACGTCCTACTGAAGAAACAAGCCATTTTCAAGGAGGGGCAGTCAGCACTCCATCAGTACCTTATCCTTCACCATCAAATAGAAAAATATATCAATCAATTCTCAAAAGGATTCTTTACATTGCTTTTTAAAAAATTCAAATATACTGTAGCCTTTAATCCAATTCTTAGAGCCAGACTCTGGGGAAAAGAACTGAATCTTCTATCAATGGACGCCTTTTTGCTGCTGATTATAACAATATACAAAAACAGTGGGATGCACACTTGCTGTAGTGCTCCAGGATACCTTTCACCCATAATCCACATCCATACAAGAGTGGATGCAGGGCTGCAGTTTGGCATCACTTCCTTTCATTTTTTGTATTAACTCACTGGTTCAGGTTTTGACAAAACTCAACCTACCCATACTAAATGAAAGACTGGCTTCCATCTGTTTATATTGAATGAGACAGGAATCCTCCTCTCCTAATGCAAGCAGGCCTGAGCTGACGTCTTCTGCTCTTGCCTTTTATTGTGGCTAGGAACAAGGTGTGTTTTTTTGGTGCCTTCAAGTCAATGTTGACTCCTGGCGACTGCCTGGATAAGTCCCTGCAGTTTTCATAAGTGGTTTGCCATTGCCTCCTTCCTAAGGCTGAGAGAGACTGACTGGCCCAAGGTTACCCAGCTGGCTTTGTTGCCTAAACAAACTCCTGATCTCTCAGTTTCTAGCCTGGTGCCTTAACGACTACACTAAACTGGCTCTCTAGAAACAAGCTTGCCATCAACTATTACAAAGCTAAAGTAATCACCTTTCCTTAAAAGGCCTGTTATTCACTACCATTCTTGGAAAATTAATGGCGTTATCACTGATCAAAACAAAGTCTTTAAATATTTGGACATAGCCTTCCAGCTTCAGCAACCTGGAATCAAAAGCAAAGGGATGTCACCGCTAGGCCTCATAAACTTTAAATGCAATTTTGCATTTCGCTAATTGTAATGGCAATAACCACATCCCAGCTACAACGAAAAAACCGAGAGCCAAGGTCATTAGCCACCTGTTATATGGTGTGCAGATTTATTATGATCATAACTTAAAAGTTCATAGAGGTAGTTCAACCTAATTTTTTGAGAACTTGGTTGCAAGCAACCCAGAGCATATCAAATTCCCTGCTGGGACTACAATCTGGCCTAATTTCCATGGAGACTCAAATACAGCTTTGCCACTTCAAATATTGGATTAAATTATTTTTGTTTTGACTGTATTTTGGCTTCCCTGACTTTGCAGGGCAATTTATATCCTCATGGTAGACAGGCATCATCACAGATTTAAAACATTACATGCTATCATCCCACCATCTGATTTCATTTGGCCATGTGGGGGCATAGTCTGGGTTGAAACAAAGGATCTTTGACACTGACATCTGTCACAACTTAGGCAAAACTCCATTTCTATACGGAGCAGGCTTCTTCGGGAGCCTTTCTCCTCTTGCCAAGTATTTAGCAAACATTCTTGGTCCAACCTACAGAAGAGCTTTCATTTTCGTCATTCACTTTTGTTTTGCCATCTTCGCTGTTAGAAGTAAGATTCAGTAATATCCCTGTACCTGCTCCCTGAAAAAATCAGAAACAATCTGTCATGCACTTCTGCACTATTCTTTCTTATGGTATGGCAAGCAAATCTAATAATGCCTTTCCTAACTCATTATTGCACCAGCTCAGAGGATGAGAATATTCTCTTCGTGTTAGCTGACAGGTCACCAAATACCTCCAGAAGAATGGCTAGGGTCATTTGCAACTGTCATTGCTATCAGACATTCAATTTTTAGCAATGTTGGTAACTTCAATATCCTTCTGTACGAGCATCTGTCTATAATTTTTGATTGTCTACGAAGGATTTTTTTTTCAGTATGCTTGTTTTGGTCTTTGACATATAAATAAATAAATATTTAAAACATTTTGTGGGACTTGTTATTTACTTTAGATATAAAATAACAATAAATAATTGTTATTTTAAAGCATATCCATCTCACTGATACTGATGACAGCTTAGAGAAAAAAATATAACCATAGAACATAAATATTAATCATTGAATTGTATTAATAAATGGTGAATTAGCTACAGAACTAATGATATCTTTGATCTTCTTTAATGAAAATCTCTTTGATGTCCTCCCTATTTTGACACAATAGAAAAGTTTTCATTCTAATAAAAACTCCTCTTCCAATTATAATAGTATCAGCATTTTAGAGAAACCAAAGAATAATTTGTCATGCATTTCCATGATAGGAATCTTGCAGATAAATGTTATTCTTGAATAAACAGGAAAAAACATGACAGTAATGTAGGTAAATCCAAAGTCAAAATGTGAAAAATAGAAAGAAAGAAAAAATAAATGTAAAGATAATGAGGATTATAACTCACCACTAACAATGCAAATAAAATGACTCCACAGCTCCAAACATCTGCTTTTCTCCCATCATATTTTTCTCCCTGTGCAATATGGTAACCAAAAAATATTAGGGAAATATTATAGTCAGATGAACTTACACTTCATGAGAAACTATTTTCTCCCCAAACTATGAACAGTATATTTTACAGTTTTCAAATACAAAATATTTAGCTTTATATAAAATAAATATAGGGTATATTACACCTAGATATTACACTAGCCATATTAATTCAACCAAAGTGCTTACCCACCAAACCTTTCTATCCCTCTCCTTTAGCGTACAAGCATATGGAGCCCAGGTGAAAACAGACTGCTTACCTGTATCTGTGGTTCTTCAAACTCTTATCTGTGCATTCACACATTTGGGTGATATGCCTACACAGAGTGGAGGACTTGTCAGCAGGAAGATCATTCTCTAGTATGTGTACTCTTGGGTAAAATTCCTACCTGTTCCCTCACTTTCCCTAGATGGATGCAGCAGTCCAGGGGAAATTCAGGCTACCTAAAATTGAGGCACCTGTAGTGGAGAAGGTGGGATTGTAGTATGAATGCACAGATGACAATTAAAAGAACTACAATTAGAAGTATGCAGCTTAATCTTCTTTTTGTTGTCTCTGTGCATCCTATAAGTGGGTAACTGATTATGTCCTCAATGGTGAGGGGCAGGAATTCACTCCCTGCAGAATGGAAGAGACCTCTGCTTTGTCCAAGGAGACATCTGCTCTTTTTGGATATCTAGATTATAACATTTTAAAAATGTGGAATGCTGAGAATACGTCACAGCCCTGCAAAGGTCAGGCAAAAAGATATTCAGTAGGAAGGCTGTGGATGAGGTTATGGGCTTGATCAAATTGGCACTTGTCTGCTTAGAAAGCATTATTTTGGCCAGCTGGTAAGACAATGAAGTAGTTGCAGATATCCATTTAGTGAACATTCGAAGTGATATTGGCAGGCTCCTTTTGATATATTTGGTACCAGATAAAAAACTGTGAAGAAAGAAGACATAATTCTCCCAGCAAAGCTGGGAGATACAAAATGGTTTATCTCTACAAAATGGTCATACTGGTTGTGCTTGTTGATGCTAATAGGTGAATTGATAGGGACCCTAGTGATTGCGATTGCCATTTAACAATGGAGGGCTCATTCATACAATGTGACTATTAGTGAATTACTGCAACATTATTGTTTGCCTTTGCCACATGGATTGCCCTGGATGTCATACACTCACATCTTTTCTACTCCCAAAGATAAAAAGTAGACAGCTTTAAAAAGAGTTGGTTTTAATTTGGTCAGTTTTAAAAGAGAACCAAAGAACAGGCCTACCAGGACTTATTAGCCCTGAGGTTCAATGTTAATTTTGATTTGGGGGCAGTGTGCCTCCAAATTCCAGTTGTAGGGGAACAATGGTAGGAGGGAAATATCTCTCCACCTCCTCCTTATGAGCATCTGGCTGACCATTGGTGGGAAATGGACCTTGACCTTAATAAGGCTATTCTTATGTTATTAGAGAACTATAGCAGACTCTAGGCTTGGGTTCACACTGTTTGATGGACATAACAGCTGTGGTATTGTCTGAATAATCTGGATGGCCTGGTTCTGAAGAATAGATTCAAATGCCTGTACTACCTTGGGTTCTAGATAACTGATGTGGCACTTCTATTCAGATAGTGACCACTAGTCATCCATACAAAGGGTCTTTGAATGAGCCCCCCATTCTATCAGTGGTGACTGATACCATAAATAGTTGGGGGACAGAGCCAGAAACCTTTAGTCAGGTCTGTGAACACACCAACAAAAAAAGAAAATCATGAGATACCCTTGAAATTTATAGGTGCATCTTTGGATGAAGGTTTTAAAGCTTATTTGAAAGAAACCAGTTTTAACAGGTTCATATACAAAGCTAAACAAATGGTATTATTCTGTCTTAGTGTTCAATATTAAGAGAGGTTCTGCAAGTGAAGAACTATGGGATTTCTCTCTTCTTTGATTGACAAATCAACAAAAAATACTTAGAAGAAACTTCCTTCTATTTTTCTGTCCATAGCTTTGAAGTAGAGGGAAGGACATTCAGGTTACAAGCTGTTGGGTGGAAGGCAGTCATAGATGAGGTGTAAGCTGTGGAATGTGACTTCAAAGTTATTGTTATAGAATGCAGAACAATATAGGTCAATGCCAGCACAACTGTGACAAAGTCCTTTCACAAGACTGCTGAGAGACCAAAGAAATAATTCCTTCTTGCTTGCTTGGAAAATATCTGGGATTGACTATAATCGTTATCAACATATCCCTCTCTTAAACAAAGAGATAAAGGGAAGGCCTGTTGGTTTGTGGCAATTTGTAACCAACCTAAGTACGCTTCCTGAAGGGTACATTCCTTGCCATATGCCCTATAGTAAAACCAAATGAGAAAGGAAGCAGGAACATCTCATACTCAGTAAAATCTCCTTCTGAGAAAGCTTTGTGCAGTAGATTCAATCTTGCATAGATGAAACAAACAAACAAAAAATGCTCTTCACTGAAGAATTAGTAATGAAGAGAAGAATCCAGGTAATGCTGCAGCAGTCAAAAAGAAATTGAGGAAACAGGTGGGAACACACCCGAGTGCATGTAAACTGGAGAGTGAGCTTCCTGCAAAAAACACACTCAGGGCAGGTGCATCCCTCATATGTGTGATACACATAAATCATGAAGAAGAGTTTAAATCTAGGTGAGAAAGGAGGTATGGGATATATCTCCCATACGAGAGAATGAACTGGGCATTGTGGCATACAACTGGGGGGTGGGGAAAGGAGAGGAGGAACAGAACAGTTTTAATAAAGCTTTTTTCAATCTGTTGGAATTGAAATATAACTGGTATGGCAAGCATCAAGAGAATGTTTTAAAAATGGAAATGGAAAAGTGGCCAGTGGATAGGATACCTATCAAGCAGACAGGACCACATATAAATCCTTCAGGAATGGAGTGAGCAAGACTCATATAGCAATCTTCTTGTAGCTCTAAACCACAACCCTGATGCTTCAAATAAGATTTAGCCCTGTGAAATCTCAGTGACAAGCACTGTGTAGGAATACCACACGGAAGCAAATCATGCTCAGTTACACGTTTCTAGATTGAGTGGAATTTATCTAAAATGGTTAAACACCAGAGTTCCTTAGGAAAAGATTAACCTGAGTCAATCATTGATTTCATAATCCCACACTAACTTACCCGGATTACTTCTGGGCAGGCATAATGCGGTGATCTGAAAAATAAAACATGATCCAGTAAATAAAAAAATCCTATTTTTATTTGTACAGGTATGTGCTTTATCTGTAAGAACTACATCAGGCAAAATTTCAGAGATTGCACCAATCATTAGTGGAAGAGAAGAAATTTAAACTCATGAACTGTTCAGGCCCCTACTTTTGGATGAGATATCCTGATGTTCTCTGATGGCAAACAAGGCCATGAGCTCCATGGCACATTTGTCACCCTAAACAGGAGTGATATTTCTACCACATCCTGCCACCCTCCTCCAAGTCAGCTTCTTTGCACAGGAGACAAGAATACTCTTTAACACAGGCTGATAAAACATATTTACCTGACATGGCACCTTACATGTCATCAAATGATGCGTGATCAGTTTGTAAATTACATCTGGATATGAATATTGAAAAACAGTTATCAGAACAGTGAGCTGTATTAACATGGTTGAATATTTATTTAGCAAGCTGGCAAGACAGATTTTTTTCCTGGTGGTTTTAATGTATATATTTATCTTATTATATCTTATTTTATTATGTATTTATTTTATTATTAATAATATAATGGTCAAAGGCTTGAGTGATTAACATGACTGTCAAACTCTATTAACATCTAACTTTAGCAGCAGTTGAAGTAGCTCGTACTATGTTGAAATGGACAAAGTGCTTAAATTGCCGTCAGTCATTCGAATAACTGCCTCCATTCAAAATATATTAAAATGGGAGGCATCTTTCTGTAACTTTCTTTCTTTTAAGAGGTAAATTTTTAGGGTGTTTTTATTTTTACCTCCAAGAGCCATAGGGAAGTTTTAGAGATGTAGTAACATGTCTATGTGATTTGCGCTGCTGAATCTTTTGGTCCTTTTTATAGTTTTTGTGACCTTGGGTTTCTTTAAATATAAAAAAATCATGATTAACAGGTGTGTGTGTGTGTGTGTGTGTGTGTGTGTTTTCTGATCTGAACTCTTACTTTTGAAAGAAAAGCAAAATCACAAGTCAGTGAAAATTCCCCATATCAAGGCCCCTTTTGTGTTGCAAGATTTCCCGGAATCAAAAGGAATAACCAACAGTTCTATGTGGAAAACTAGCAAACCTGCCCAAATCATTCTGACAAGGGTCAAGTGACACCCGAGGATCAAGCCAGTCCTATGTTATAATTTATAGCTCCAAGATCTGCTCTCTTTCCTCAGTCTGGACAAACTGTTATTGAAAGAAATGACCAAACATTCTATCAAACTATGACTAACAAACAGGGTTAGTAGAGGAAACGTCATCCAGAAATGTAACAACAACATTTTCATTAAAATGGTAAGTATAAATTTAACACAGTGGCTATCTTAATCATTATAAAGACACCCAATCATCCATTAACATTAGCACAACCTGCCATAAAACAGGTCTTAACCTGCCCATTTGCAGACTGTGGCATTTTACATGCAAAACATAGGCCAATGGCTTTTGGGTCAATGGATCTTCTACATTCCTACTCCATTCCATTTGAAGATCCCCTAGTTTTATCTTTTGCATCCTTAAATGTGTTATCATTGGCGCTTGGGAAGGGGAAGTCTCAAAGTTTTTTCCAAAGAGTATAAAATGTGTTTTTGTAATTCCTTACCTACTATTCTTTGTATAAATATAATACTTTGTATATAATACTCATTGTGGTCATATAATAAGATACATCATTCTTTTCCTGGATTCATTAAAGAGAAGATCTTTTAAAAAAGCATGCTTTTCACTATCTTTCTTAATAGTTATATATATTTCCTGTAGTTTGTTTATTTAACAAACTTATATAGCTGCCCATCTATCGGAAGAAACTCTGGGTAGTAGTTTTAAAGGGCAAAATTACTGGAATATCTTCTTTCTCTTTTCTCTAGTGAGTTACTAGAATGTAGTTGCTTGATCAGGATACACATATGAGGTACAATGGCTAGCTGTTATATTATAGTAAACTGATTGACTTTAGAAAACCAATTTCTGTTTATTCATATCCTTGATGTTTCCCACAGCTTTTTCTGTTTTGTTTCAAAGAGTTTTGATTCCTTATTCTGATCAGCAGCAACTTTTCCCTCTCCAGGTCCTTCCTACACACCAGCTATCTCTTCTCTTTTGCTGCTTCGGTAATCTGCTCCCATCCTTCTTACCCCACTATATCTGCCTAGACATCCAAGTCCAGCTACAGGTCTTAGGTATATTTGATATCACCTCACCTGCTATCATCTGTTCACTCAGGAAATCTGCCATTCCTTAGGCTAAACAATTTACTCATAGAGAAGCAAATGCACCCTTACTGTATATATATATTAATAAGGGCATAAACATAAGGCTACAGTACATACATATCTAGAATTAAATCCCACCAAATTTAGGGGATTTGCTTTTTATATTTGCCATGCTCTTTATCTTCAGAAAAGTTAAACAGAAGTTTTTAACCAAGCACCCAATTTGGGAGAATTACCAAAAGCTGCACTCCTGAATGGTTTTGTGCAGTCATCATTAAGTACATTGACTTTTTCTTTTCCAGCTTTTAATGGAGGTAACCATTTGCTGTTGCATGATTTCTACACATGGCCCATTAAAATAATAATGAAAAATTATACCACCGCAATGTTTGTCAACAATATGACAGACTCAGACTACTGTCTGCTGCTGAACTCTGTCTAGCAACTAATTGAGAAACAGTTCTCTGAAATACATTATTATTCAACCGTGCCACAAAACCATTTAGCATCCTAGAAACTACTATGTGTTTTCCAATGGCAATGGTACTCTAGACTAAAACGAGATGTGACACAAGGGATTCACAAACAGAATCAACCCATTTTTAAAAATCAAAGCACACACTGTATATACTGTGTGTCTAAATATGTTCTAGCTCCAGAGAAAAATATAGATCTCCTTTTTGAGAAATTTAGCTATGGGGAAAAATGGCACAGGGGAAAAGATTTTAAATAAGGCTATACCTAAAGCTCCAGTTCAAATTATAGCTCCTCAAGCTGATTGGAATACATCTTAGAGGTGTACAAAATATTTCAAGATTAAAATGTTCTGATCCCCAATTGGCCTATTTTCAGAAGAAGTGTTCTAGCGTTAAAACAAGTTATTCAGACTTATGGAAGTAGGGTAACCTCAGAACTGGCTGTTCTGATCTCTCTTTTGCAGTACGAGTTTGGATGTTGTACCTTGGAACATTTTGATCATTCATCCATCCACATCCACATCTGTATGTATGGAGAACTATTAAAAATGGGTCTTACACATGGCTTCTATGTCTCTCATGCTCAAAAGAATGTACATTGGCATAAGAACATAACCAGTGCCCTGCTAGATCGGACCCCTGGCTCATCTAGTCCAGCAGTCTGTTCTCACAGTGGCCAACTAACTGCACAAGGAAGCCCACTAGTCTCTGAAGCAGATGGCCTTCAGAGACAGGCGAACAGCCATTGATCCCCATGACTTCCATGAATTGGTCCAACCCTTTTTTGAAGCCAGCCCTGCTGGTAGCCAGTACCATATCTTGTGGTGAAAAATTCCAAAGTTTAATTATGAGTTGTGTATAAAAATATTTTTGTTCTGATCCTTCCAGGATCCTTACATATTGTTATGTGGCAATACCATATTAGTACATTCATTATATCCACCCAAAATAAGTCATATATGCTTGGCTTCAGCTCCACTAATCTAGACTTATATTGTGAGTAGATTTTTGCCCCAGTGACTGCCCCTGCTGGGCTCTGAAACCAGTAATATTAAGGATGTGAAATCAGTCATTTGATTTTCTGATATTTAAAATGCCAACCCAATAGGCAAAACAAAGAAAATAGTTTCTGTTTTGACATACTAGTCCAAGGCACTAAAACAATGCATACTGTGGATAATATTTTGCAAAGGATCAAGAGGAAAAGAATGTAAGCTAACCTGACTACTCAACAGCTATACCTCAACTGCGGTGACAGCAGCATGAGCTCTTGGCAATTCACAGGAATTACAGATCTCCAGCTTTAACTTGGCTAACAGTTCTAAATGGAATCCTTAGACCCTTCAGAATGCACCGAAAACTCATTTCTATACTGCCAGTCACTAAGCAGAGGAAAATCCAGTAACAACCACCACCACAACAATAATGGCTATTATGCCTAATTATTTAACATGTATGTATCTAAGGAATGTTATCCCTTCCTCTTCCCCTTAAGCCTTCTTTTCTGCTACATCTCTAGGCAGTACTGCTGTACTATGTGTGATGTCTTCAAGAATGGGATCACTCAGCAAGACCAAGAAACAGGTTTTACCAGTGGGTTCAGCTTTGGTATGGAAAGAG